AGGGGTCCCAGAGAAACCAAAATGGGCTTCAGGAGAGTCCCAAGAGGGGCGCGCGAGGTCTCATCGGTCCCGGGACCCGGGACCGGCGCATGCAGGACCCTGGACCCGGACCGGCGCACCGGGTTTCGCGCCGGTCCCGCTTCCCGGGTCTCGCGCAGGTCTTGGGTCCCGGGTCCCGCGCCGGTCCCGGGTCCCGGGTCCTGGGTCCCGAGCCGGTCCCGGGTCCCGGGTCCCGCGCCGGTCCCGGGTCCCAGGTCCTGGGTTACGCGCCGGTCCCGAGCCGCGCCGGTCCCGGGTCCCGGGTCCCGGGTTTTACGCCGGTCCCGGGTCCCAGGTCTCGCGCCGGTCCCGGGTCCTGGGTCTCACGTCCTGCGCTGGTCCCGGGTGGTTTCGGGTCCCGCGCCGGTCCCGGGTCGCGGAGTCCCGGGTCCCGAGTCCCGCGACGGTCCCGGGTTCCGGGTCCCGCGCCGGTCCGGGTCCGGGCCCGGGTTTCGCGCCGGTCCCGTCTCCCGGGTGTCGCGTTGGTCCCCGGTCGCGGATCTCGCGCCGGTTCCGGGTCCTATAGGTCCGGGTCCCGCGCCGGTCCCGGGTCCCGGGTCCCGCGCCGGTCCCGGGTCCAGGGTCTCGCGCCGTTCCCGGGTCTCGGGACCCGCGCCGGTCCAGGGTCGGGTCCCGCGCCGGTGCCGCGTCCCGGGTCCCGCGTCGGTCCCGGGTCGGGAGTGCCGGGTCGCGCGCCGGTCCCTGGTCCCAGCCGGGTCCCGAGTCCCGCGCCGGTCCGGGGTCCCGCGCCGGTCCCGGGTCCCGGGTCCCGGGTCCCGCGCCGGTCCCGGTCCCACGCTGGTCCCGGGTCCCGGGTCCCGGATCCCGCGCCGGTCCCGGGTCCCGGGTCCCGCGCCGGTGCCGGGTCCCGGATCCCGCGCCGCAAGGTCGCGGGTCCCGGGTTGCGCGCCGGTAGGGCCCTGAGTCCCGGGTTCTGCGCCGGTCCCGGGTCCCAAGTCCCCTGGGTCCCGCGCCGGTCCCGGGTCGGGGGTCCCGCGCCGGTCCCGGGTCCCGGGTCTCGCGCCGGTCCCGGGTCCCGGGGCCCTGCGCCGGTCCCGGGTCCCGGGTCCCGCGCCGGTCCCGGGTCGCGGGTCCCGGGTCCGGCGCCGGTCCCGGGTCCGTCCCGACCCTAAGGATCCGAATCTTGAAAAAGTTATGGAATCCAGAACTTCTCAGGATGTCAATATTATAGTGAATAACATTGAAAAGTTAAGGTTTTTTTCACCAACTTCTCCATATCGTCTTATGTCGCATAACTATAATATGTGATATTGTATATTAGCACACATGGTGTATTATAATATATGACGTGGGAGTATATTATATAGTTGTTTCGTGGAGGAGAGGTTGGTTCTTTGCTTGCGGGGCCTTGAAAGAATGTTATCGCTTGTACTCCCCTCCCACCTACCCGCCCACCCCCCGCAGCCAAGCCATGCGATTGCGCAATGTTTTGAACGGGCCTGGGCCTTCTTCCCTTTTTGCACACGGTGATTCCCAATCTCGGTTGATTAAAAATAATGGAGGGGGGGCAGGACAAACTGGCAATAGATTTGCCCACTCACATAATGTGTGCCCAAGAATCGCGCAATAACCCCAAAAGCCCCATAGCCCTATAGCCCCACAGCCCTATAGCCTCAAAGCCCTATAGCACTATAGCCCTATAGCCCTATTGCCCTATTGCCCTATACTCCAATAGCTCTATAGCCCTATAGTCCCATGGCCCTATAGCCCCATAGCCCTATAGACCTAATGCCCTATAGCCCTATAGCCCTATAGCTTTATAGCCCTATAGCCCCAACCCTATAGCCCTATAGCCTTATAGCCCTACAGCCTTATAGCCCAATAGCCCCATAGCCCTGTAGCCCTGTAGCACCATAGCCCTATAGCCTTACAGCTCTATAGCCCGATTGCCCTATAGCCCCATAGCCCTATAGCCCTATAGTCCAATAGCCCTATAGCCCCATAGCCCCACAGCCCAATATCCCTATAGCCTTATAGCCAGATAGCCCTAGCCCTATAGCCCTATTGCCCAATAGCCATATAGCCCAATAGCCCTACAGGCCTACAGCCCTATAGCCCTATAGCCCTATAGCCCTACAGCCCTGTAGCCCTACAGCCCTATAGCCTCATAGCCCTATAGCCCTACAGCCATACAGCCCTATAGCCCACTAGCCCAATAGCCTAATAGCCCTACAGCCCCATAGCCCTATAGCCCTGTAGCCCTATGGACCTCATCATGCATGATGAGTCCAGCCCCGAGGAAGACGGCGACGAGGTCGTCGTCGTCGTCGCCGTCGTCATCGTCGTCATCGTCGTCGTCGTCGGCGCCGTCGTCGTCGTCGTCGTCGTCGTCGTCTCTTCGACCCCCTTTTCCCTTTCGGGTACGTCTTCGGTACAAATATTACCAACCCTTCAGAGCATGAGTGGTCTAGACGTTCAGTAGCCATGTGCCTCAGCCTTTTGTGTGCACACACTTTTCACATGTACGTACTCATTGTCTTTCTCGCATGCACTTTCTCAGCAATGGGGTTTGGCTCCAAAACCGATGACAATTCAAAGCAGGTTCCAGACACCCCACAACAATTGATAGATGACGCGTTTTCATCTTACGTTTGCGCAACGACAGATGACGACATGTTTACTCTCGGTGCATATTCGTGGTTGGACGATCAGAAAGCGCCACGACCGAACGATTTGATGAAGTTCGAAGTGTTGATGGTTGAGTTGTTTCGGGCAGAGCCGCGGGGGAGATTCAAACCTCTTGCGTTGCAGGATGCGTTGCAAAAAATGGTGGCCGAGTTCCCAAAGCGATCTATCAATAAAAGTTCATTCTCGTCGAAATGCTGGGCAAAATTTATTAGCAATTCATGCCAAGTTATGCTGCGGCACACCCGTCAGTTGGTTGAGTCTGATGATGCATACGCTCGAGCTTGCAAAAATGTTGTCGGCGGGATGGAAATCGAACACACATTCACCGAGTTTGTACAGCGTGCAAGACAGGCGCGTGGTGGCGCGTCGAGCTCGAGTGGTGCGGTTGTACCAGCATCACCCCCGCGGGCAAAAAAACGAAAACTCCAGGCCCACGCGTCAGACGTATCATTGATATCAGAGGTGTCAACACTTTCTCAAGAATCCGAAGTTTACGACGGAGATCGAATCGATGCCGATGCGCTTGCTGCAGCCAGCGCGCCCGCACCTGCCGCCCGAGGGGGCTTGAAACAGTTTGTAAAGGCTGGCAAAAAAGGAGGAGCCCACAAACGATCGCTCGCGCAGGTCGAGCACACACCATCTTTTGGAAATGTCAAGCTATGTTTGTACACTCACAAGTCCTACCTCTTAATGTCCAGAGATGGTAAATGGCCCCTTCTGGTTGAGGTGGCAGGGGCAAAGGTCAGGAATCATGCAGATGTCGCTACATACCTATTCAAGAAATGCGTGCGCACAAAGAATTTGACTAAGGAATCAGTTGTTGCAATGCGAGATAAAGTAATCGCGGACATTTCAGCTGGCAAGAAAGTATCTGGCATTCCGCACGATGACAAGGCAGAAAAAACACACCGCTCTGACGCTGACAAACTTGACGAGTTATTTTCAGAATCGAATGAGGCAGGCCGTGATGTCGCGCCCTCTTGCTCGGGGTCCGATGTGGGCGAGAGCAGCGTGTCCCCAGTTGAGTTTGATGATCATTAGGAGCACTCATACTTCTCTTTTGGATACGACAGTTGTCGCTGCAAACAAAGATTTGCTTGCCTTAGCCCGCGCCACCCAGACCCCGTCCCGAATGGTTCTCGCTTCGCGAACGCCCGCCAGCCCATCCTAACTTAGCCACCCGAACGAATAGTGCGACGACGACGACGACGACGGCCACGACGACGACGACGACGTGATGATGATGATGATGAAGCTGATGATGGTGAGGTCGAGGATGAGGACTAGGATGATGATGGGGAGGAGGAGGAGGGGAGAATATGATGATGAGCAGGGTGATGATGAGGAGGATGATGACGAGGATGATGATGATGCTCATGATTCTGATGATGATGATGAACACGATGATGCGATTGCTGATGATGACGATGCTGATGATGATGCTGATGATGATGGCGACGATGATGATGATGCCGATGATGATGAGGATGATGGTGGAGGTGATGATGATGATGATGCTGATGCTGCTGCTGCTGCTGACGATGATGACGGCGACGACGGTGATGATGATGATGATGAGGATGAGGGGGATGACGATGATGATGATGATGATGATGATGACGGTGATGATGATGATGAGGATGAGAGGGATGATGAGGATGAGGGGGATAATCATCACCATCAGCATCAGCATCACTCACTCAATGAATAGTGCCAATCTTGCCGAGAGGTCGCCCGCAGTGGCGGTGAGCGGATTCGGTGCGTTCGTTAGCGGTCGACCCATTACCGTGCCCACAGCGCAACGGAAAATCCAGCACGTTCGTTTTAAACGAATCGTTTTTCGTGGGCTTGAGGGAATAATAAATATGGGTTTATTATATTACGAGGACGCGTGTACGAGTAGGAGAAACCCTGGATCAGTGTAAGAGCCCCGTGGGCCTTTTGAGTCTCCTGAGCCTCTTGGGCCCCATGGGCTTCTTAAGTCTTCTGGGCCGCATGGACATATCGGGCCGTGTAGAAGGTATGGGAGACGCGTGGCACTATCTCACTCCTGCACCCTAGATGGCCCCCAACCGATGCTCCAATGGTTCCCCCAAGATACCCGAACGAGAGCCCCTCGAGGCCATGGCGAGGCCCGCGATCGGGCGCAATCGGTGCACCTTAAACGACGCCGTCATACGAATAGCCAATTTTGGCCCAAACCAGCAGCGTTCAAGAACGCAGTTGTACCACGATCCACGTACATATTCGCGGCTGTTCGGCACTTGTTCCAGATGCCGCCGAGGAAGAGGCCAGCGGCGGCCCCCATCAGGATGGAGCTGACGAAGCGCGGGAGGCCATCAGGCTACGTGCCAGAGGACGACGCGGACATTGCTGAGGAGCAAGCAGTGACTGAATCTGAGGAGATCGAAGACACCAAGCCGCTTGCCAAGCGCTCTTCATGCGCGGCAGAGGCCGAGGAGGACAAGCCCGACAAGAACCTCCTGGACGCCCAGATGGAGAAAATGAGAAAGCACTGCGTGGAGAACAACATCACAGAGCCCTCCATGACGATCCTGAATAAGTACCTGTACAACGCGTCCCTGAAGTCGGGGGCTTGGCAAAAGCTCAAGGCAGCTCGCGGGAAGAAGGACATGTCGGTTCAGGAGGCTTGGGCTGCTCTGTGCGAGTCGAAATCTGGCAAGAAGACGGACATCAAAAACGACGTCCTGTTCGCCTTCGTGCGGGGCGACGCGAAGTGGGCCGAGCGCCTCGAGAAGCAGGTCTCCACTCTTTCGAAGGAGGAGAAGCGCGAGGTGAAGCAGCAAGAGTTCACCAGGGCAGAATTGGAGCGCATCCACGGGTACGAGGAGACGGACGCCTTCATTGCGAAAGGCAAATTCGTGGCATTCCAGGACTCGTGGGGAGATACGGTATACATCAAGTCGACCAAGTCTCGCACCGAGAGCATGGCGCTGAAGAAGGACAAGATCACCGAGAGGTTCGGCGAGGGGTCGTCGTCGTCGTCGTCGTCGTCGTCGTCGTCGTCGTCGTCGCCTCGAGCAGTTTTTTTTTAAAGAAAAAAAAAGAAGAAAAGGAAATTCAGAATTACCCTTTTTTTTTCAAACGTGAAGATCGTCGTCGTCGTCGTCGTCGTCGTCGTCGTCGTCGTCGTCGTAGTCGTCGCCGCTCCCATTTGGCCTCGACTGGTGCGAGCGCAGCGTCTGATGCATTACAGTGGCATTATAACGGCATTATAATGCCACTGTAATGCCTGACGGGCTGCATCTGCACCATTCGAGGACCGAACGGGAACGGCGACGATCGACGCCAGGTCGCGCCGCCTCGACGACGGCAACCACGCCGAGAGCACCGAGGCTGCCGAGGGGTTCTTCGACTCCAGCGCAGCTTCTTTCTTCGGCGGCCAGAAGATGATCAAGGACGGTGGCAAGAAGCACAAGGGCAAGGCTTCGGGGTCAGCAATGGCGATAGAGGACGGAGATGTGGGCGACCCTCCAGATACCAAGAAGGAGCAGACCTGTGAGCAGAAAATGACGGCAGTGGTGAACAAGACTGGCAACCTGATCACGAAGTTGACGACGGCGCAGATCGCGTGCGGCAAGGACCCGATGGCGAAGGCTGTGGGCGCCTCTCTCAAGGCAGCCATTGACGACCTAGCGAAGACCAACAAGGCTAACATGAAGCTCACGACGGGAGCCTCCGCTACTGATGTCAACAAAGCGGTGAGGCTGTTCAATTCAAACACCGAGAAAGCGAAGACCTTGCTTGCCAAGGCCAAGCCGTTCGCCAAGTAGGTTGGCAGTGTCAAGCCGTTCGCCAAGAGTTCCACGCTCGCAGACTGTCATGATCGTAGCCGCCGACAGCGTCTACAGCGTGACGCAGACTGCCGACCTGAGACGGTTGACCTGGCTACGCTTCCGTAGCATTACTCCTGCAGGGCGCGTTTCTCTGTCGCCGTGCTTTTTTGTTTCTCGAGCTGTCTCGAGAAGTCTGGACCCGCGCTGTGGCACGTTCCCGTCGCCCGCCAGCACCGCAGCGCCTGGGCATCATCACCATCATCAGTTAGCACCGTCCACAGCAGTCATTCATCATTCCTCAGTGGGCCTAGGCGTTTCAAAACCCCCGAGGAGCCCCATGGGGGACTCGCTGGTTTCTCGAGGAGTTGCCAATGACACTCCGAAGCTTCTCCAGCTGTTTCTCTCATGTGGTTAAGTGCGTTTCACTTACGTCCCAGGCTGTTCTAGGGCCTTAGCAACGCCTGCGTACGATTGGATTGGGCGTCTCAGGGCCTGGATGGCTTCCCAGGGGTTCCTAGTGGGCAGGGGCCTCTCAGGGCCCAGGGGACTTCAGAGCCCCTAGCGGCTCATATGAGGGAGGGTTCGGGCTTCTCAGGGCCTTAGAGAGTTCCTATTGGGTTCAACGAGGGCCAGGGCGGCGCGGCTTGCGCGTGGAGACCTGAGCGAGAGTGAGTCTGGATATGATGATGCGTTGAATATGATGGCCCTTGCACTCGTTCGCCTCTCTTGTTTGCCATTTACGTCTCAGGTCCAGACACTTACTTTGTTCGGATTCACACCATACTTGTTTACTAGCGGAAGCATTCACAAATTCCATACTTGATGAATCTCGACGATTCCATCGCCACTTTTCTCTCGGAGCATGGGGGCTCTCGGCAAGCGAGCCATGCTGCGATGATGCAGCATGCAATGCTCGTCGACTGCGGCGATGTGGCGTCTCGGCTGGCGGTCCGTCTATTGAGCGCGTGGTCTTGGGGATTCTTGTCGGCGAACACAGTGCAGTGGCTCGCAGGTGGTAAGTTTGGTTTCAACTGGGAGGGATCGTATCTCACATGTGCGGCTTTGCCGCAGATTTGAGAATCCCCGATAGTTGATTTCAAATTCAGGTGGGGCGTTTCTGGATGGATTGGATTTGCCTGATATTAAGCGCCTGGCGCAATGCGGCTCGCACGGGGCCCACTGCGGTAACGTTCGTCGAGATTTGAAGAGACAGTTTTTCAATAAGTTGTCGGTGCCGAAGCCGATGTCTTTGGATGTCCCCACCAGAATCGCTTGCGCTTTGCGCATCCCCGCCTGCCCCCAGGGACGACGACGACGACGACGAATACGACGACGACGACGACGACGACGACGACGACGACGACGACGATCTTCACGTTTGAAAAAAAGGGAAATCCTGAATTTTCCTTTTTTTTTTTTTTTTTTTTTTTTTTTTTTTTTTTTTTTTTTTTTTTTTTTTTTTTTTTTTTTTTTTTTTTTTTCAAAATGCTCGAGGCGACGACAGCGACGACGACGACGACGACGACGACGCCACATACCCTTCCCCACCCCCCACCGAGGGGGCATTGTGGGGGGGGGCATTTTGGGGGTGCGGAAGTTGTGGGATTTCATCTGGTTTCCCCCAAGTCGAGACCCCCCCCCCCTTTCATACATGCAGAATGGGGGTCTTAAATATGGACCCCAAGGCGAAACATAACCCTAACAGGGGTTGTACAAACCGTCCCTGGCACCTCACCGCCCCTCCCCAGACCCATGGGTGGGGGGCAGGGAGAGTGGCGAACCCCGCCACGAAGGGGGAAAAATTGGTGAACAACGGAACCTCCCTAGACCACTCACGGCCCACAGGGCTGGTTGGATTTCAGCCACGCGAGTCGAGGACATGCCGACGAGCTTGCTCTCGCCCTTGGATGTATGCCAATATCTGTACGACGAAAAACCAGATGCGTTCCAAGATATGATTTTGACATCTTCGCCTCGATCCTTTTGGGAACAAATCGATCCGAACGACCCTAAGTTCATTAACCATGACAAATGTGGCATGCGAAGCGACCCGAAATGGATGGACGTGTGCATACCGATAATACTACACGGCGATGCTGCTCTTATTACAAAGAACGAAGGGAAGTTGTTATGCGTGCAATGGCGGTCACCCCTGTCGCGATCATTTCATAATAACATAATACCGTCGTTCATGATTCATTCGCGGGCTCGAGCGACAGGTGGCGATGGCACTGATATCATATGTTGGCGCAGGCTTGTATATTTGCTGAACGCTGCATATGACGGCGTCCATCCCCTTGCGGACGAGCGCAAGCTGCCGTGGGCTCCGTGCACTCGGGCAGATGAAAACAAAGGAAAGCAGTTTCTTGGTGGTAAGTATAAGCTGGTTGTGTGGTTATTGACGCACGATCTAGAATATGGCGCCAACGAGATCGGGTTTCCGAATTTCAACGCACATCGACCATGCTGGTTCGACAAATGTTCCAGGGAAGAGAATACGCCACACCCTATTACAGACGTGCGGTTCTGTGCAGCGTGGAAAGGATCGCGCATTCCTGTGCACGAAGCGTGCGCGCAGCGCATCAGCGATCACCCGATTCATTCGATTAAGGGCATGTCTAGATTCATGAATCCAGGGGATCTGATGCACACAGGGAACATGGGCGTGCTCAAATTTTTCCTAGGTTCGGTGCTTTACGTGATCATGCATTCAGGACGTTTTAGGGGTAGCATTGAAAAACGGTGCGACGAGTTTTATGATCATCATTTAACTCCGATGTATGCAAAGTTGTTGGACCCTGCTCGTATTGGTAAGCTAACGCCTGGCATGTTCATTGTGAAAGATAATTTCCCTGTGTTCTCTGGGAAAGCTGCAGAAACGCAACACCTTTTGTATGCGTTGAAAGAATATTGGCTTGAGGCTCGTGATGGCGGTGACCATGACGAGCATATAATGAGGGCATTGGGCTGCCTGTGTGACTGCTGGTGTGCCCTGAAGAACGGGCCCATGGTTCCTGGCCTCGAAATTTCGGTTCGCGTGACCAACTTGGTCGAAACTTTTCTGCAGCATAACAATTGGCTGTTTAAGCATTGGGCTGCTAAGGGGCGAATGTGCTTCCATCAAACAACTAAGTTCCACATGATGATTCACATTGCAGAATTGTCCAGGTGGTTCAACCCCACATGGATGTGGTGTTTCGAATGGGAAGATTTCATTGGCAAGCTCGTGCAGTGCGCTCGAGCTTCAACCGCTGGCACCCCACCGCACAGAGTTCCATTCAAAGTCATGGAGTGCTTTTTGATGAACTTACATTTGAAATTGCATGTAGATAGCGCAATGATGTAGGAGGGTCCAATCGAGCGAACACATTCATAGTTTGTTTGCGCTGGAAATCCGATTCTGGCAACTGCATTTTTTGTATTCATCTGGCTTCGCCACGCCCGACCAGCCCATCCTACAACAATTTAAACGAGTACTACGTTCTTTGGGTCTTCTGGGGACGTTCTTGGGGCCTTCTGGGGACCTTATTGGGGCCTTCTGGCTACGTTATTGGGGCCTGCTGGGGGCTTTCTTGGGGCTCATTCGGGACGTTCTCGGGGCCTTCTGGGGAGCGCTTTAGGGAGGTGTGGGAGGTCTCTAGGGACCATCTTCGAAGTCATCGAGCCAAACGGGGGCGGGCGGAGTGGGGGGTAATTATTGGGGCCCCTTCGTCGTGGGCACGATCCTTGTGAGGGATTGTAAGAATGCGTTCTCCCGCAGGAAAAAAAAACGTTCCGATGCTTCGCGGGCCCTTCACCCCTTCCCCTCCTCCAGGCCCAGAGGAAGGGGCAGCAGGGCGGTTATACGCATCGCCGCTGGAGAAACACGGGGGGAGGTGGACTAGGCTTGCTGGATTTGATGACAGTGAGTCTTCCGACATTCCCGCCCCACACATGCATTGAAGTAACCTGCGCAAGCGTAGCAACTGATGCGCCCGACATGGGCTAACAAGTAGAATCGCAAGAACAATAGGTTGTTGTGATCTTGTATATACGACATTATTATTATAACAAAACACATAGTTATTATACTGATATTATAATGTAAGTGTAATGTCAGTGTAATGTTATGTGTTGTTGGGTAATGACATATACAAAAGTTGGGGATTATTTCCCTAACTTCTCCAGATCCTCAAGATGAGACCACCGATCCCCAACTCTTCTGGATTTCCGGAAGTCTTCAAGATTTTCCACAACTTCTTCAGGATCTGGATTCTCCGGGGATTCCCACGCCGGTCCTGGGTCGCGGGTCCCGAGCCTGAGACCGGCGCCGGTCCCGGGTCCCGGGTCTCGCGCCGCTCCCGGGTGCGCCGGTCCCCGGACCCGGGCCCGGGGGCCGGAAAAACGTCAGCCCGCGTCAGCCCGCGTCAGCTCGCGTCAGCCCGCGTCAGCTCGCGTCAGCCCTCCCTCCCCCCTCTCCCTCCCAGGAGCGCGCCCGGGTCCCGGATCCCTGGCCCGGAGGCAAACGTCAGCCCGCGTCAGCCCGCGTCAGCTCGCGTCAGCCCGCGTCAGCTCGCGTCAGCCCTCCCTCCCCCCTCTCCCTCCCAGGAGCGCGCCCGGGTCCCGGATCCTGGGCCCGGAGGCCGGAAAAACGTCAGCCCGCGTCAGCCCGCGTCAGCTCGCGCCACCCCGCGTCAGCTCGCGTCAGCCCCCCCCCTTCCCAGGAGCGCGCCCGGGTCCCGGATCCCGGGCCCGGGGGCCGGAAAAACGTCAGCCCGCGTCAGCTCGCGTCAGCCCGCGTCAGCTCGCGTCAGCCCGCGTCAGCTCGCGTCAGCCCCCCCCCCCTCGCCAGAGCGAAGCTTGAGCGAGCTCAAGCCCACGCTCTCAGGAACTCACACGCCGGATCGGCGGATTTGTGTGTCCCAGTTCCCCTTCATTCAAGCCGGCCCAGGCGCAGGTCATGGGCTTGTGCCCGGACGGGCGGTGGACGAACGACCCAGAGGCCAGGGGCGGCACCCTCGCAGCGGGCAGCTCCGAGTTGATTTTCAGAGAGGACGGTCGCGGGAGCGGAGCCCGCGAGCTGCACCGGAGAGGAGGAGGGGGACCATCGGCAGGGGGAGAGGGG